CATCACCATTCAGTCACTGGAGAAAGAAAAAAAGAACGGAACAGGGCACTGTGAACCCACTCTGTTCTAGGCACAGAGATATAAACTATAAATTACGACTATAGATTCACTATTAAATTACGATGTATCTTGCCTTTAGTGTGTATTGTTTCTTGTATTAGTCATTAAAATATGAGAGATGATCATCATCACTGCTAAGACAAAGACAAATTATACTGAATATAAAGACAAATATCTAATGTTTTAACATTGTTAAAGACATATGGCACTTAGATCAGCACTGAATTTTTACTAATCTTAAGGATAAATGTTTTCTTTAAACAGGAAAAACAAAATGCTGTATATAAATGTAAAGACTTTTGTTCCTCCTGTAATAACAACGGCTGAAATAATAAACAGAAAACAGGGTGTTGGCTATTTGAAATATATGTCTTTTTTTAGCATAGAAGACACATAGAAAATGTCATTAAAAAATTGAACACAAAAATATTAGATATTGTGGAAATGTGTTACACTGTTGGATGAAAGTGTAGACATGAATTAACTTATTTAATAGAAACAATGTTTTATGGCAGCAATGCTTTGACAGGAATTTTAAGCAGGATTCTAAAGTAAGATTAGATTACTGTGTGAAATACATTCGCTATGATATTGGATACAATGTTTTAACAGCATCCTACAAGGTACAGGAGAGCCTCACTCCACCCTCCCAAAGAATCAAATTCAGCACAAAATGTTAATAATATGAATAATACTAAAGGTTAAGAAATCCTATAATAGATATTGAACCAGACTAGGCCAATCAGATTCTCTCCCCAGAGAATTTTAACTTGGGATCCAAAGGTGCTGGTTACACTACCTTAGAAACTTAAAGAAAGATTAAACCTAGTTGAGGTTTCCATTCCTGAAGCATGTGTATTACTGAGAAGCCAGAATAACCAGTCCTCAGTGATACAAAAGAATAAATCAGCCATGCAGAGGCAAAAAATTGGAGAGAGAAGCAATTTTTGACAGATTTTACCTCCTGGTTCTCTGGTCTTCCTGAGGTCCAGCTGCACTTCTACCCTTTGAGCTATTTGAAAGGTAAATTACTTATCCATATTGAAAAAGCCCAACATCCTAAGGCAAAATGTATTTTGAAACCACTCAAAGTTGTACTTATTGCAAGACCTGAATTTTAGAAGTATGCCAGAGATCTTGAGACTTAGACCTCGTAAGAAATTCGTAGAGATATTACACCTCCAGAGATTCCGTAGAGAGGTAACATCCATGATCAAAATTTTTTCCAAAAAAATGTAAAAGTTTCCAGGATTCCTTTAGATGGCTCTTCTATTACATAAAATATATTATTTACTCTTAGGCTCACTTGAGATGCACTTATCTCTGAACCCTGATGGATTTTTTTAAAAATCAGAAAACAGGCTTTGCATGATTTTGAAATTATTCTGTTTTTGTTGACTGACCAAACAAAAGTACATTTTAGGATCTGAAAGACAAGATGCTATGTCATTTACAAATGATTTCTTTCCTTATGACTGAAATAAAATTCACTTTAGTGAGGGCTTCTCTGGAGGAATTCAACTTCATGATTCACCAAGTACTTTCTTTCTTTCTTTCTTTTTTTTTTTTCATGGATAATCATTCTTTGAGACTTTCCATACATCAGGGAAGAAAGGTAGAGGTACTTAACAGCCCCACAGCTTAGCCAAGTAAACTAAGACTACATTCCATTCAACACATCATATCAATGCTGGCATCTTCCTTCAGGCTCTTACTCCTAAAACAGCAAACATGCCAGGAATTGTACTCTGTGTCGCTAAATGGCAAGACGTCATGGTAAAAACAAATAAATGATTCAGGCTCCGGGAGAACGAGTTTATGAAAATGAATGACTCTTCAGGGTGAAATGAAGCAAAGAGTGGTGATCAGCGTGAGAAGATCTCTGAATAGAGATACGAGAAAACAAAAATGCTGGTTACAGGAATGGTGAGCTTGAAGGGAGGTCTGTAGGGGTCAGAAGTTTTAAAAAGAAGAAACAATAAGAGGGTTTTTTGTCTTTACAGATTTAGTGAAATGGAGAGTGTGAATAAATTAGCAGCTTACTATTGTAAGGGGACAAAATTTGACGCCTCAAACTGTGTCTCTCTGGCATGAAGATTAATTTAGGCTGATTATTTTTAAGGCCTGAAAGAACCTTTGACCTTTCCCCTAACTGCCTAAAAGAATGTAGGTAGAACATGCTCCCGGAAGGGAGCCCCCAGCATAGATAACTGTAGTATGAACTAGGTGTGTAAACAGGGAGGAACTCGGCAAAGTCTGCTTGATACAATTCCTCTCCGGGCCACCTTGTCTCTGTGTGGCCCAGCAAACATTTGTGTACCAAGCATTTGCTTTTCTATCTTCATGTCGATTGGCTTCTTCCCTTTTGATGTCCCAAACCACTTTCCCCAACATCCTCTTTTGTCTTTAGCTAAAGATGGTGTTTAAAGGGAGAGTTTTGGCCATTTCCGTGAGTTCCTCTGCTCTCTTGGTTCTCTCCTACATGTTTTAAAACGTTTGTTTGATTTTTCTCCTGTTAATCTACACCTCATGTATAATATAATTCTTAGGCCAGTCAGAAGAACCTAGAAGGGTAGAGGAAAATTTCTTCTCCCCCAGCACTATGGACAGTAGCTCACTATGAATACCTATAAACAAATTTTTTAAATTTTAGTGAACTTGGGTAACATGTTTGCAATTTATTTTGTGTACTGGTTTGGTTGCTGCAGTTAGTTTTGATTACATGTTGAAAAACTTAAGTGTGTCATTGCTCCTCTATAGCATTTAATAATGTTCAGACTCTAAACACTGGAACCAGCAGCTATTTAATTTTTTTCCTAAAATTTTCTAAAAATTAAAATGCTTTTCTAAACAACCCCCCCAAAAAACCAAAAACACATAAACAAAAACAAAAACAAAAAACCAAAAACTTAGACAGCCTAAAGAGTTTTATAAAATTTAAAGTAGGTAAATTGTGCTTGTAGAATCTAGCTAGGTGTTCCATTCCTGCTGTTTTACTCATGAGTCTGATTTTCTGAAGTAACTTAAATTCATTCGTTTTAAATCCTGTTTGATCTTAGAGCATCACGACCTTATAAACCTAATGCAAATACTTTTCACGTAGTTGCTAAAGGTCAAAATAGAACTTAGGAAGGAGTACAGAGAGCTGTGTTATACATAGAGCAGTGACTCAAACTTGAAAGTGCTTTTAAGCTCAGTTAAATCGTGGCCGCATTGCTCCATAGCACAGCTTAAGTAAATTGATTCAGTGGATTAATGTACTCATGTCAGGAGAGACAAACTTATCTGCCGTGTGAAGTCTGAAGCTCATAGTAGTAGTATTTAGCGGGCTTACTGGTAAGAATGACAACTCTCTCTATTCATGAGAACTGAGTCCTGAGGTCTGAGCGCCATAGGTTTAGGTGTGAGAGAGACTAAGATTTAAGAAATAAATAATAATGATTAAAGGAACAGAGTTATCTCTGTCGCTGCAAGATATATGAAGCCCGCTTATCTCATTTAAAATAGATACTGCGTGTCCTTTTTTTATCTTTAAACCCAGTATCAGGCCGGCTTTCTCCAGGCTCCTAAGATCAGACTGGGTGGTGGCTTCATTTTACGTATTTCTTTTGTCCTCTCAGTTAGGAACTGTGTTTTAGAGGGTGGGGGGAGCATGTATCAAAATATTACAGTTGGAGTCCCCCAACCTTACACGTTTTACATTAAAGTAGTTATAATTGTCTTTTTCTTTTAGGGTGTATTATTTGGTCATGGAAAGGAATAAACTAGAGATACACATTATAACGTGGATAAAATGTCAGCATAATTGCCTTTAACTGCTGGTTGTATAACATTTTCTCAGCTGATTACCACTCAGTATACTCTTCGGTCTTCTAAGCTGCTTTGTAAGCAGCATTCCTTGCTTAGAAACTAATTGAAAAATATAAGTGCACTTGACAATAGGTTAAAAAATTGTTTGCCTCTTCAACTAAAATATCACATCAAGAGAATTAATGAAAAAATGCATGTTTCTACTACTGGAATGAACAGATATACTTCTGACCACTGAAACGTTCATTGAACTGATTAAAGCTAAGGCATCATTTTAAACAAAGGAAACCTTCTAGG